AAAATTGGGGAACTGAGAAGTGATGCCTGAAGACACTAGTCCCAGATCTCATACTGACATGGGACATGGGAACCTTTTCACATATTACTTCCTCTCCCCCCACCACCCAGTCATCACAGCTCTCAATTTGTCCCATGTTCTCCATCTTTGCTGCTGTCACCCAAATCCATACCATCATTATCTGCTATCTGGACCAATCTCCTGTCTCATCTCTTTACCTGCAGCCCTGAAACCAGGGAGAACTTTTACTGAAACTACAATCCATTCACTGCAGCTGGAGGACTAGCAAAATACAAACCAGATCATAGCACTCCCCACTTAAAACATGAGGTGGATGTAGGGATCCAGCATTTGAGAAAGTTTAGATGAAAATCATGGGTGGGGTCGGCACCTGTAGCTCAGTGGTTACAGCACTGTCCACATACACTTGGGCTGGCAGGTTCGAACCTGACCAGGGCCTGCTAAACAACAGTAACAAATACAAAAAATAGCTGGGCATTGTGGCAGATGCTTATAGACCCAGCTACTTGGAAGGCTGAGGCAAGAGAATCACTTAAACCCAAGAGTTTGAGGTTGTTGTGAGCTGTGATGCCACAGCACTCTACCAAGGAGGACATAGTGAGACTGTCTCAAAACAAAAAAAAGGAAATCATGGGAAACTAATGATCACTGAAACTACAAGTTCAGTGTTGAAGTTTAGAAGGCCTGGGAGGTGAGGGAGCAGTGGACCTGTGGACAGGCCCAGGAGGGCCTCAGATCTCCTTAGAGAGAGTAGGGTTTATTCTGATGGGTTCTGAGTAGGGAGTACTTCCAGATTCCTCCAGATGACAAACTGTCCCCAGTCACAGCTGCTCCTCTCCAGGTCAAGTCCACTCCTAAGTAACGGCTAATGCTTCTAAGCAAAGGACAATGAAAGAAACACCCAGTGAAAAACAATGGAGGGGAGCACTAGAAACCAGGCAGGCAAGGAAACCGGACTCCATCGCCTGGGTTTTCTCTGTCATTCATGTCGCTAATCCGTGTAAGTAGAAAGCACGGATCCTCCACCAGAAGAGCAAGGGCAGATGAGGAATACGGCCCAGTGCTCTGTAGCAGGACAAATCCACATTACTGGAGAAGTCTCCCGGCATTTGTCTAGGAGATATAAATAAGAACACAGAAAAAGGCTTAGCGCCTGCGGCTCAAGTGGCTAAGGTGCCAGCCACACGCACCTAAGGTGCCGGGTTCGAATTCAGCCGGGGCCCGCCAAACAACAATGATGGCTGCAACCAAAAAAAATAGCCAGGCGTTGTGGTGGGCACCTATGATCCCAGCTACTTGGGAGGCTGAGGCAGGAGACTCGCTTGAGCCCAGGAGTTGGAGGTCGTTGTGAGCTGTGATGCCACGGCACTCTACCCAGGGGAACAGCTTGAGGCTCTATCTCAAAAAAAAAAAAAAAAGAACACCGAAAAAACTGGTGCTGGAATGAATAAGAGAATAATCATATCTGAAAACGATATGTGATAAAATACTAGTGGGATCTTCTACGGTTTATTTATTCTTGCCAAATAATCTCGGTACGTCTTTTTTAAAAAGCTAAGTGTTGGGCCAGGCACAGTGGCTCACACCTGTAACCCTAGCCCTCTGGGAGGGTGAGGCGGGTGGACTGCCTGAACTCATGAGTTGAAGACCAGCCTAAGCCAGAGTGAGACCTCGTCTCTAAAAATAGCCAGGCATTGCGGCAGCACCTGTAGTCCCAGCTACTTGGGAGGTTGAGGCAAGAGAATCGCTTAAGCCCAAGAGTTTGAAGTTGCTGTGAGCTGTGACACCATGGCACTCTACTAAGGAGCGAGAAAGTGAGACTCTGTCTCAAGGAAAAAAAAAAAAAGCTAAGTGTCAAGACTGTGTTTTTAGGTAGAATATCTACAGAATCGACATAAAAATGTAGTGACCGTGAAGGGAAAAATACCTTTTAAATTTTCCTCAACAAGAATCAACACAATACTGCTTTACTTCAGTAGTTAACTACCAGTATGCAGAGATACTTGGTCTAATTTTCTGGCTTGACTAGACAAGTTAGAGATTGAAGAAACTCTTTTACTATGGGCCTTTTCAGCCTCGTTACCTACGTTTATCTGCAATGTGTTTTATGCTCCACAACCTCCTGTTTTTTCTTCCCTGTACTTTGACACCACTTTAATGCACAAGCCTAAGCCAGAATATGTAGTATTATTCAACTCGTGTAGAAGCAAACTCATTTACACAGGAGCAATAAGATGACTGTGATACAGAAACCTCACCAAAAATGTGTTTCTCAGATGAAATAAGAAAATGGCATAAAATCTCAACGAGCCACTATATTTGTGAAATGATTCAGTGAATTCCCCATGTCTCATAACTAATCTCCGGCGAGGTGAGGAAGCTACTTGCTCGGTACATCAGGTACTTCCTGAGTAAGATAATGACTCTAAGCCAACTGTACCAGTTAACAGACTTTATTGCACTGCACTCAACTGGCCCACTAGGATCCCTGCACTTTCCAGAGCAACTCCTAGGCCTTAGGGGGGATCTCGGGAGATAAACATTCTCGTGATTTCATTACACGTCATTCAGATAATTTTTACTGAGTCCCTGTGGAGTCCCTACTCCTCCCTTCCTATCCCAGGGAGGTAAAACTTTGTATTACACAAGTACTATATACAGTTAAGCGCTACATCCTATTATAGCATGCACTTTTTGTTGTTTTACTCTCAGATTGATATGAGGATACAAATGTTTAGGTTACATTGTTTTCAATTCTAAGGTAAAGTTAAAATTATAATTGAGCCCTTCAGCCAGGGGGCCTCCTGAACACCCTCACATCGTGCACGTTAGGTGAGACCTTGCCCGTCACCCACTCCCCACCTTCCTCCCCCTCCCTCTTCCCCCTCACTAGTATAGACCTGGTGTTTTTCTTTTGTGTGGGTGTGTAGTTATTTATATATTGATTTCTTATTAGTATTGAGTACACTGGATACTGTTTTTCCATTCTTGTGATACTTTACTGTGTTTTAACTCCATCCAGGTAACATGCAAATGTATTTTTAAAACAAAAGCCTACTTTGTTTCTGTCTTAATTGTATTCAACATTTACATAAGTCAAGTGATAATGACACCTGAGGACCTCTGTGTTACACCTGCACTGATTATGACACCGATTCTACGAGTCATCCTGTGAGACAAAGCAGCAGCTTCCCCGTGTTGTTCCTTAGGCAGATAAGCTCTAGGGTCAACTGAGAAAACCCCCACTCACCTCACATCCACCTCACCTCCAACATGCATGAGAAAAGAGCCATCGGGCTGCTTCAGCGAGTACAAATACTGCAGAAGCTTCTCTCTGAGAAACACAAGGGGCAGAGGCAGGAGAGGCAGTGGTCAGCGCGTGTCAGCACGCAGGGAGCCCCTGGGTTGCTGTCACTGCTGGCTGCTTTGGCTGTACCTGTTAATGACATCATAGGCCTCCTCGGTGCCAATGATGCACAGGGCGTTGACCGCTGCATATGTGGGGGCGAGGTGTGGGTACTGCCCAGGGCCCCCTCCAAAGCCGCCGTCTGGGCTCTGACACAGCTCCAGGAACTGACACACACTAGGTACATAGTGGCGGGAGAGGGGGAGAAACGAAATCAGAGAATATTAATTTTCAAAACACCAGATTCTCACTAGATTCCCAGCCTTTCCACCCCCTCCCCTAAGGGCTTAGTTCTCTCCCCACTCTTGTGGGTTTTGTGCGCCCCCCCTCTCTCTGAGCTTTGCATGTAAGTGCTGCCCAGGCATGAGCAAGGAGCATCCAGCCAGGCAGAAGCAGACTTTCAGACGTGGGGGTTAAGAGCCTAAGCTCCTTAACCAAACCTTTCTCAGACTTTCCACTCAATTTGCCTCCCTGGATCTGTGGTACCTCCCTTCTCCTTTCCTTTGGGAACCTCTTGCCTTTTCACGTAGAACTTGCCACTCAATCACTTCTTTCTACACTCACAGTTGTAGTCTAGACCCATCACCTAGGGTAGGTCCCATGAGGATACAGAGATGCCTTCTTGCTCCCACTGCTACCTAGGCCCCCACAGGCTACTGATTTCTATTCCTTCCACCGGTGAGAAACCAGCATTTAACAGAGCTCACTGCCAGGGGTGAGGAGAATGGAAGAGAGGCCAGCTTCCATTACGCTCCCCTCAACTGCAGCAAACTCCGAGAAGCACACTGACTCCCGTCATGAGACTGCATCACAGCACAGAGGTTTCCAGAGACGTTTTCACACTAATCCAAAGAGGCTCCAGTTCCCTCATTGAGGGAAACTGTTTATTAAGGGTTTGCCTCCAAGCCCGGCATCAGGTTGCCCTGAAATTACATTCTTGCAAATCAAGAGAGCCCCTATTGGTCCAAGGTCCTCTGAAGTTCACTACAAAGAGGTGCTCCCAGAGAGCCTGTTTCCCCAAAACTCAGCAGGGTCACTGCCTTCCTATGAGAAGAAAGCTCCACCAGGAGAACAAGTTGCAAACCATCTCCCCAGCACGCAGGGGGCCTCCTTTTCCTCGCCCTTTCACCTCATTGCTTCTCACCTATTGCTGCCAGAGAATACACCTAGCCTAGTTAATGTCTATGAAGACACAAGTTCATTTCTGTTTTCCCACATCATATTTAATTACTATTGATTTCAGACTTTCCATTATCTGGGTAGTGACAACAAAAGAAAATGCTGCTTGGCCTTCACAAAAGCCGATGAAAAAGATTTAAAACAAACAAAAAAAGAAAGAAAGAAAAATGTTGCCAACTTGCTATTTGAGTCCTAAAATCACAAGTTAAACAATACTTATTTTAGTAAAAACACATTTACTTGTTTTTACAACTAAAATTTATGGCAGAAAACACAAAGATTGAAATGGAAATTGAGAATCAGAGAAGGAAGATGATTCTGGGGCACATTTTTAATAGCAATTATTTTCATAGGAAACCTGAATTTGATTCTAGCATAGTTTCCAAATCATCATCAATTCTTATGCCATTTCCCAAACAAATAGCTAATAAACTCAGGTCCTAACAAACATATTTTGCTTAACATAAAACTTAACAGCACACTTAAAAGACAAGAAGAGTCACTTAGTTATCCCTTTCTTTCCCCAACTCCTAACACAGAATCCAGCTGGACACGACACCCCTGACTCTGCAGCCTAAAGTCTACCATGAGCTTGGATCTGAATGTTCCAGACACCTTGATATCCTCCCTCCATGCCAAACTCCCTCAGCTGACTTGCTGCATCTGTCTTTGGGGCGGTACTAGAGAACTGGAGGTTGAGCTTCTCTCAAATCTCAGACACCACATCCATGTCATAGGACATTTTGATCCTAAGGCCTTCCAACTTGAACCATAAGAAATTGGCAAATTAACCTTGAAACTACCAGCTGTCACTGAGCAGACTTCTTGGCAATTCTGAAAACCAAAATGTTAAAGGTACTTCTATCTGTAAAAAGGGGGAAAAAACACAGAGACCAGAACCCCCCCCTAACATTATTAAAAATTATAGGCAGGGCAGCACCTGTAGCGCAGTGAATAGGGTGCTGGCCACATACACCCAGGTTGGCAAGTTCGAACCCGGCCTGGGCCAGCTAAACAACAAAGACAACTGTAACAAAAAAATAGCCAGGCACTGTTGCAGGCGCCTATAGTCCCAGATACTTGGGAGGCTGAGGCAAGAGAATCACTTAAGCCCAAGAGTTAGAGGCTGCTGTGAGCTGTGACTCCACAGCACTCTACCCAGGGTGACATAGTGAGACTATGTCTCAAAAAAAAAATTACAGGCAGGAAGTACCATGCAGACACCAAGAGTGGCACGCTTTGTGAAAAGTGGACACAAAATTGTTCATTTTAGAATATGACTAAAATCTGTAAGAGATCAATGTTCTTTAATGGCATCTGGGCGCTTCATTCTAGCTTACATGACAACTACCAAAAAAGCAGGAAACTAACCTCTAGATGAGGGATTTTCAAACCCAAAATGTGTGTACCAGAATCATTGAGAAACTATTAAAAAATACACAGACCTGGGCTAGCTGAAGTGGAAAAGAGCCTGGGCTTTTATATGTTCACCAAATCCCTGAGTGATTCAGACACACACCAAGCTTGACCACCACTAGACTTTGCTGCACAATTACAACCATGTGAGGGATGTTTAAAAAAAGCCCAATGCCCAGGCCACACCTTAGACCAATTAAATCAGAATCGCTGAGGGAGGACCCAGGGCACAGTATTTTTAAAACTCTTCATGTGACTCCAATGTTCAGCCAAGTGGCAGAGCATCTTAAACTTAAGTGTGCATAGAAATCACCCGTGGACCTTATTCAATGCAGCTCTAATTCAGCAGAGTGAGAAGGGCCTGAGATTCTGTATTCCTAATAAGCTTAACAGTGACATCTATTTCACTGCTACCCAAAATGTGGTCCCCAGATGAGGAGCAAATGATAGCAATGCTCCTGGTGTGGAGACGTTTTATATAGCAATGAGACAGATCTGCACTATCCAACAGGCAGCTACTAGACCTATGAGACTATCTAAATTTTCATCTAAATTAATTAAAATGGAAAATGCACTTCCTACAGCTGTGGTGGCTCACACCTATATTCCTAGCACTCTGGTAGGCCAAGGCAGGTGGATTGCTTGAACTCAAAAGTTTAGGACCAGCCTGAATAAGAGTGAGACCCTGTCTCTACGAAAAATAGAAAAAACTAGCCAGACATGGTGGAGGGGTCCTGTACTCCCAGCTACTTGGGAGGCTGTGGCAGGAGGATGACTTAAGCCCAAGAGTTTGAGGTTGTTATGAGCTGTGATGCCACAGCACTCTAGCCTGGGGCAACAGAGCAAGACAATAGCTGGGCGTTGTGGTGGGCGCCTGTAGTCCCAGTTACTTGGAAGGCTGAGGAAAGAGAATCACTTAAGCCCAAGAGTTGAGGTTGCTGTGAGCCGTGATGTCACAGCACTCTACTGAGGGCAGCAACCAAAACAAAGACAAGGAAAAGGAGGGAGGAGAAGGAGGAGAGGGGAAGAGAGGGAAGGAAATTCAGCTCTTTAGTCATGCAAGCCACATTTTAGGTGCTCAATAGTCACATGGGCAAGTGGCTACCATATTGGACAGCAGAAGCACAGAATATTTGCACTATCAAGGAAAGTTCTTTTGGACACCACCACTCTGTCATTCAGTCATTAAAGAGAATGTAAATCTCATAAGAGGGTGAAGTTCAGCTTAGCACCTGTGGCTCAAGCGGCTAAGGCACCAGCCACATACACCTAAGGTGGCGGGTTCGAATCCCCAGCCCGGGCCCACCAAACTACAATGATGGCTGCAACCAAAAAATGGCCAGGCGTTGTGGCGGGCGCCTGTAGTCCCAGCTACTTGGGAGGCTGAGGCAGGAGACTCGCTTGAGCC